AAAAAACCCCCCAAAAAAAAAAAAAAAAAAACAGGTGTGTGTGCCGAAGATCCCAAGGGGAAAATGGAGGAAAAGGGATCGCAGTGTGGGCATCCTCCTTGGGGGTGATTTCTCACTTTCTCTGTCTCTGTCTGTCTCTCTAGTGATTGCATGCCCCCTATAACAGAAATCTCTCAGGACCAGCAGATGGTGTAATGGCTAAATCACTGGGCTCCCATGTGGTCGACCATGGTTCAAGTCCTGGATTTGGTTGCCTCCTGGAGCCAGCGGCTTGAAAAACACTCTTGGTGCATGTGCGTGCATGCCCAAAATCCTGAGAGGAGACTGGAAGAGAAGGGATTGCACTGTGGCCATCCCCCCAGGATGTGAGCTCTCTCTCTCTCTCTCTGGCAAGCACAAGCACTCTATAGCAAACTAGGGGAAAAAAAGTGAAAGAAATCTCAATATCCAAAAAAGAAAAAGAAAAAATCTCTCTAAAAATAAATAAATAAATATGAGATTGAAAGCCACACCTCTAAAACAGCTCAGTCCTGTCTGTGGGCACAGAGAACAAAAGCAACACCAGGAATCCCACTCTGGAGCCCAAAGGCAGGGTGCTGAGTAAGCCAAGGCCAGAAGAACCTGAAGAACCTGAAGACAGGCTGGACCCAAGTGGCCAACAGTTCGAATCCTAGTCCCGGCAGCTTGAAAAGCACCAACTGTGTGTGCATCTGCGCAGCCGAAACCCTGACAAGATGGAGAAGTGGAGGAACGGGGATTGTGACCACGTCCCATCTGGGGTGCTTTCTCCCTCTCCCTCTCTGTCTCTCTGGCAAACACATGCCCCCCAGTGACTTAAAAAAAAGAAGAAAGAACTCTTCAGGGAGAGTGCTCAGTCAGGGAGCTGTGTGTGACCAGAGCCTCCGCCTCTCACCGTTCTCCACCACGTCCCTGGCCGTCCTCCGGTCTGATTCTTCCAGCCGAGCCTTCGCCGCCTGAGAGGAGCCCCGAAACTGTGTCAGAGTTTCTCCCAGGGAGGTTCTTAAAGTCACTGAAGTCTCAGCCCACCCCACCTCAGCCCCGGAGACCCAGAGCCATGCCATGCCTCACCTTGGGCTTCTTCTCCAGATCAGCCTCTATCTTGGGACCCAGAAGGTGGAGGACCTGAACAGGGCCCAGAGTCAGGCAGAGACAGGAGTGCCCTCTGTCGAGAAGCCCCTGGCTGACCCCGCCCATCCACCCAGGGAGGGCTTCCCAGCCCTGGCAGCACCTCCAGGAAAAACGTCATGCGGTTCTGCTGGCCCCAGAGGCTCGCGCCCTCCTCGAGCCCACACTGGGCCCAGGTTACAAGGCAGCCATTGACAGAGGGGAGGTGGGGGCCCAGCATCAAGCCACGCCGTCTCCCTCAGCGGGCACTCCTCGTGATCCCACGCTGCTTCCTGAGACGAAGGTCCTATCCCCCCGACTACAGGGGGAGGAAGCTGGGCTCCTGAGCAAAGCAGCTCACTGCAGGTAGACGCAGAGCAGAGGTCCAGACAGGCCTCCCTCCACCCAGCCTCTGCTACCCAGCGCTGGAGTAGTCTCCTCCCTCGTCTCCCTCAGTGGAGCCCAGGCCCTGTCCACACCCTGTCCATGCCAGGGGCGTCGCCCACCTGCATGTCCACTTCGTGCTTGATCATCTTGCCGTCCGCCCACCTGAGCGCAGCCCGGGCCTCACCTGCAAGCACAGGCACCAGGAGCTACAGGGAGGCCAAGAGGGCATTCGCCCTGGGGAAGGGCAGCCGCCACAAGGCCCAGGGCCTGAGCCCAGCCACACCACACCTCCCTCCCAGCTCCTTCTCACTCCTGCCCACAAGAGGCCTGACCAGAGAGCTCCCAGCCTGCTCCCAGCCCCGCTCACCCATCAGCAGCCCCATGTTGAAATGGTAGCGCTCTGCGGAGAGCTGGGGCAAATGCCTATTTATGGCGATCTCCACCTGCAGAAAGCCAAACCCAGCAGTTCAGAAAAGCTCCCTTCAGAGACAGCCAGGGACCCACATACCCTGGGTCGTTCTGGGTATGAAATGGGTATAAACTGAACCACTCCTTCCCCGGACCAGGACCAGGACAGACTCACCGCCTCCTCGATCTGCTCTGGGGTCACCACGACACCCACACCACACTGCTGCTCAAAGTCCACCACGTCGATGGGGTCCAGGGGGTGACTGCGCACATAGTCCAGGGCGGCTGAGAAGAAAAGGGGAGCTAGCCAGTTTGGGCATCTCAGCTCAGAGAAACCTAATCCCGAGAAACCTCCCAAGTACTGCTTGGCCAGCTGAACCGTTAAGCCCCCGCACTACGCTGGAGGACCCTGAGGCCACAGGGAAGAACGCACACGCAGAGGAGGCTCCGCATCAGACCTCCGTGGTCCCCGTGTGCGCCCAGGGCCGCCCCTCCACATCCAGCGCCTGTGCAGAACCAGGCTGGCAGAAAGGGCTGACGGGCGTCTAGGCAGAAGGGAGGGATAGGGCTGGAACTAGAGGAACAGGCGGGAGTCTCACCGCTCAGCTGGGGCTCCGTGTGGATCTTCTTACTGGCCACATAGCTCACGAGGAAAGAGAGACGCCGCGTGTCCCTGAGTCGGGAGGCCAAGCCATACAGCAGGGTCCCGGTAGCCTTGTCAATGGAGCCCAGAGTCTGCTGTGCCTGGGGTCAGGAGAGAAGTCCACGCCCAGTGAGTGCGGCCGGGGCGGGACAAGAAAGGTAGATGGGGTTCGGTCCCCGGCTCCGCGCTGCACTGGGGCTCGGTCTGCAACCCTGGGCAGGGGCCGAGGGGCTCGCACCTGTGTCGCTGCCTCGCGCAGCTGCGCGCTCAGGGCAGAGTTCTTGAGCGTCTCGCGGGCCTTGTGCTCGCTCAAGCCTAGACCCGTGAACAGCGACAGGGAGTCCGGGGTAGCCATGGCGAGGACACCGGAAACCGAAAGAAACTTTGGGGCAAGTGAGCACGTCGGTATTCGCACACTGACCAATAGGAGAACGAGGCCTAGGGAAGAACCAATGGTGTCCTTCCCTGCCGGCTGGGGCGGGGCTCTCCAGGGTCGTCTACGCCATTTAAGGAACCGTGTCCGGCTAAACCGGCTTTTCCGGGGACAAGGCTTCCGTCTCCGTGGTCCACGCCGCCAGTAGGGGTCGGGGGCGGCGGGGCTCTAGGGGCGCCGCCTGGACCTGGAGGGATGGTGTTCAGGGCCGAGGCAAGAGGAAGACCAGGGCGTGGGCTTTTGCTCTCCGATTTCTCCCCTTCAGCCCTGGGAACTCCATCCCAACACCGTTCTTGGGGAGCAAATCTAAGTCCCGGTCGCATTTTTGACGTCACCGTTTTGGAGTTGTCATGGAAACGGTTGCGCAAAATGAAGCCCGGAAAGCCTTGGCGAAGACTCGGGCGCAGAGATTGTGCGGAGTGGCCAATTAAGGAGCCCCTAAAGTCTGGCACGTGGGATGGCTCGCCTGGCCAGGAAGTCTACGCAGAAATTTTGTGATGATTTGATTTAAAATCCCACGCTACGCTTCACCTCTCTTGGCAAAGTGTACAATTCTTACTAAAATTACATGGAAATTAGACCGTGAAATCCCTCTGCAATCCTTGGATTTTTTTTTTTTTAGAGATTTTTGCTGTAGGGCACCTGCGCTAAGAGGAGAAACAAAGAGACAGGAATCCAGAAAACACACACACAGGAGAGATGGCCACGCTGCAATCCCTTCTCTTCCATTCTCCTCTTGGGATTTTGGGCAGACACGCATATGCACCTGGCATGAGTTTCAAGCTGCTCCTCTGGGACTGGACCCTTGGCTGGCCATGTGGGAGTTCAGCACCTTAACCATTATACCACCTACTGGCCCCTGGAAGAGAGTCCTCATGACTGTGGCCAGGGTGCTTGGGGAGCCTTCCCAGAGTCTCACTGAGCTTCCAGGACTTGCTGACTAATACCGAGTGACCACTTTGTTCTCCATGTGGGATGTGGGAGAATGGGCAGTGGATGGTGAGAAAGTCCCCAGATTTAGGGTTGGTATCAGGCTCCTGGTGACACTCCTCTTTCTGTAATTTCAGAGACTGGGCAGGTTCCCAACTAGTCTATCCACATCCCATTAATGGCCAAGTTCCATGTCTGGGCCTACACCTGGGTCCCCTGTGGTGACCACATTCCAGTTCTGCCAGGGTCACATGTTGCGTTGGTACCCAGGTCTGATCCCATGTCCTGGAGCTTCCCAGCCCTCCATGGCTGCTTGTCCCAGCCTCATCATTCTCCCAACCGACCCCCACTCCCTGAGAGTGCATTGAGCATGGCAGAGCCTGCCACTGCCACTTTCCTCAGTACCTGATGCCACCAAAGGCTTTATTGCAGCACCATCCCCACCATCATGAAGTCCTGCCGGTCAGGAGAGTACAGAAAAGCCTGAATGCCCTTCCCTGGTTCCCACATGGTACCCTGTTGCCCCCATGGCTCTGTGTCACAGACTGAGGCAGTAGTGCCACCAAGAATGCCACAAGTGGTAGCGGCAGGTACCAGTGGAGCCTGATGACTTGCACAGAGCAGAAATGTAATGTGGTATGGGCCCAGGCTGGGGTGTTAGCAGGCCTGGGTGAGCCCCTGCACCAGTCCTGGAAACCAAAGGGAAAGGTGACCAAGGAGAAATGCCTGGAAGCGGCAGGCAAGGCTCCGCTGTGCAGGCAGGGGGAAGGTCCAGCAGCCAACCACAGACAGGCTCCTGCAGTGTGAGCTGAGAGCACGGGCAGCAGAGCCACGGTGCCCACAACCATGGGCAGGCTCAGCAGCAGGGCTGCAGCCAGAGTGGACCACGCATTGATCAGTGCATGCAGCCAATGCAGCCAGTGGAGGTCAGCCTCCCATGCACCTGGGGCTGGCCCAGCACAACCCATTACAGCCTCCAGCATTATCGAAGCTGCCAGCACCAGCACACGGGTCAGCGAGGCCTCCTTTTCTGCAGGACCCATGTCCATCTCTCCATAGCCAGCAATCCACGCCCCTTGGAGTGGTGTCCCCACTGAAAGAGCCAACACTGGTCAACTAGTATCAGTGCCTACATGCAGAACAGGAGCCTGGACCCACGGGCTCAGGACCAGGGATGGACTTCTGGGCTGCCATAACCCTGTGTCACCTCTACTTTGTCACTCCCTCTCTGGTCTCTAATCAGCTGTCTCGTGAGAACCTTTAATCCCCATCTCCCTATTCCTTTCCACCCAGAGATGGCTACCCTGCCCCCAAGCAGCTGGGGAGAGTGTGTGTGGACCAGGGAGCAGAGCTGCCGAGGTTGGGACATCCCTATACACCCATTGCGGATGAACAGCCTGGGCCAGTTACCAGGAGCCACGACCTAGGAGATTTTTTTTCCTTTAATTTTGTTAGAGTGCATGTGCTGGCTCAAGAGACAGAGGAGAAAACACCCAATGGCGCATGGCCACACCGCAATCTCTTCTCCTTCATGTCTCTTGAGATTCTGGACACACAAACACGTCTGGCGTGTTTTTTGAGCTGCCAGGTCTAGGACTCAAACCACACAGCTAGACATGTGGGATCTAGCTACCTTAACCTCCATGTCACTAGTTGGCCCCTTAGGGATTCTTAAGGGCCCAGTCCCCTCCCTCTAACAATGGTGGACAAGATTAGCTTGACTTGCTCTGCCCATCCTTTCCCACAGCAGTTGCCCTCGTGCTCTGTTCTCCCAAGGGCTGCAGGTGGTATTTCGACTGGAAAAGGCCCGAGAACAGGAGAGAAGCATGAGCCCGGTGCCCCAGTGCCTCCTCTGCCCCCAAGTCCTACCAGACCTGCTGTCAGCCCCAGGCTGCTCCAGTGCCTGGACCGTCTAATGCACACTGCTGGCTCCAGAGCCTCACAAGTCCCCTCCACCCTATAGGTACACACGGCGTCAACTCCAGCCACCTCCACAGGGGATCCAGAACCAGGAACAGCAGGTGGGCTGGGGAGCTGATGGCACTGGGAGCTTCAGGGCCCCCGCACAGGGCATGAGCTGGTCCCCCGCTGTGCAGGCAGGGGAAAGGTCCAGCAGCCAACCACAGACAGGCTCCTGCAGTGTGAGCTGAGAGCACGGGCAGCAGAGCCACGGTGCCCACAACCATGGGCAGGCTCAGCAGCAGGGCTGCAGCCAGAGTGGACCACGCATTGATCAGTGCATGCAGCCAATGCAGCCAGTGGAGGTCAGCCTCCCATGCACCTGGGGCTGGCCCAGCACAACCCATTACAGCCTCCAGCATTATCGAAGCTGCCAGCACCAGCACACGGGTCAGCGAGGCCTCCTTTTCTGCAGGACCCATGTCCATCTCTCCATAGCCAGCAATCCACGCCCCTTGGAGTGGTGTCCCCACTGAAAGAGCCAACACTGGTCAACTAGTATCAGTGCCTACATGCAGAACAGGAGCCTGGACCCACGGGCTCAGGACCAGGGATGGACTTCTGGGCTGCCATAACCCTGTGTCACCTCTACTTTGTCACTCCCTCTCTGGTCTCTAATCAGCTGTCTCGTGAGAACCTTTAATCCCCATCTCCCTATTCCTTTCCACCCAGAGATGGCTACCCTGCCCCCAAGCAGCTGGGGAGAGTGTGTGTGGACCAGGGAGCAGAGCTGCCGAGGTTGGGACATCCCTATACACCCATTGCGGATGAACAGCCTGGGCCAGTTACCAGGAGCCACGACCTAGGAGATTTTTTTTCCTTTAATTTTGTTAGAGTGCATGTGCTGGCTCAAGAGACAGAGGAGAAAACACCCAATGGCGCATGGCCACACCGCAATCTCTTCTCCTTCATGTCTCTTGAGATTCTGGACACACAAACACGTCTGGCGTGTTTTTTGAGCTGCCAGGTCTAGGACTCAAACCACACAGCTAGACATGTGGGATCTAGCTACCTTAACCTCCATGTCACTAGTTGGCCCCTTAGGGATTCTTAAGGGCCCAGTCCCCTCCCTCTAACAATGGTGGACAAGATTAGCTTGACTTGCTCTGCCCATCCTTTCCCACAGCAGTTGCCCTCGTGCTCTGTTCTCCCAAGGGCTGCAGGTGGTATTTCGACTGGAAAAGGCCCGAGAACAGGAGAGAAGCATGAGCCCGGTGCCCCAGTGCCTCCTCTGCCCCCAAGTCCTACCAGACCTGCTGTCAGCCCCAGGCTGCTCCAGTGCCTGGACCGTCTAATGCACACTGCTGGCTCCAGAGCCTCACAAGTCCCCTCCACCCTATAGGTACACACGGCGTCAACTCCAGCCACCTCCACAGGGGATCCAGAACCAGGAACAGCAGGTGGGCTGGGGAGCTGATGGCACTGGGAGCTTCAGGGCCCCCGCACAGGGCATGAGCTGGTCTGAGGGGAGACCAGAGCACTTTCAGGGTGTCTAACACACAGATGCACATACACCAGATGATGTGGAAGGAGGGGGTGGCCGCGGCATGTGGTGGATCACAGTCACTAGTCTGCTTATGTATTATTTATTTTTAAAATATATTTAAACAGCAGGAATCCCTTCCAAAATGCAAAAAAAAAAAAAAATTACAGTTTTTAGAATAAAATTATAACGTTTATAATGCGGGTCAGAAAGAAGTCAAGGTACAACTGAGAATCAAATCATGTAGCACTGGAGGCGGTGGAGAAGCCAAGGCCCACTGGTCAGGAGGCCCAGCTGACAAGAGGTCCCAACCTGTGGGCCCCCTGCCCAGAATCCTGTCCCCCAAACTCTGCATTGCTGGAACCAGTGTCCTCTGGGTTAGAGAAGAAGCGGCAAAGAGCTGGCCCTCTGTGGGGGATCCCCCAAACCCAGTCCCCCCGACACCCATAAGACAGGGACCTGCTAATCGACCTCCTCCATGTTGCTGTAGGTGGGGGCTGGGCGGTCCACTGGGGGGGCGAAGCGTTCAGGGGCTGTCCGCGTGGGGGCCACCTCGGGGGCCTGGCCAGGGCCTAGTCCCTGCAACAGAATATGAGGACAGGGGTTGGGGGCTGCCCGGCATGCCTCTTGGCATCCCGGGGGTGCTGGCTCAGAGCCCCGGCACCCAAGGGAGGGCCCCAAGGCAGGCGCAGACAGCAGCGGCGTCGAGACAGAGAGACGAGATCGGGCCTGAACAGTCGCTTTATTAACGCTTTAAATACAGGAAACGGCTTGGGCAGGGCCAAGCCCCCAGCCAATAATCAGAGCAGCAGGAGGAAGGGACAGACAGCTGGATGGATACCCACCCAAGGGTGCCCTGCCCCTGCAGGGGCCACGGCCCCACCTCCTCCACCAGG